ATCCTCAGCATAGAGACAGATGGTCATTAAATCCACGGGAGCTGAGATCAATAAGTGAAAGAGTCTAGAGACAGAAGAGAATTGGACCCAGGACAGAGCCCTGAGGACACCTGTGGTTAGAGGGGCATGACGACAGAGGAGGAGTGGTCTGAGAGGGAGGAGGAGGACCAGGGGAGAGTGGTATCCCCAAAACCTAGAGAGAAGAGAGGGTTAAGGAGGGGAGTGTGGTCAACAGTGTGTGTTTGCATGTATGTATGTATACATATATAGTGTCAAAGGCTATATATAGGTGTGTGTATGTGTGCGTATTTATATATCCACATATATACATATACACACAGTTTTTTTTTTTTCTGAGAGCCAGTTGTTAAAATATTTACCAGCATACCACTGGATTGACTTCTCTTAGAGGGTCTGTTAGTCCTTGTGGGTGTATGCTTATGACTTGTCTTGGGGGGGGCAGAAGCACTAGAATGATTCTGGAGCAAAATGGCATCCCCACAGGATCAGGTGCAGATCTGGGGAAGAATTGCAGGTGTAATCCAAAAGGGTTGAGTGCCCAATTCCCCGTGATGTGTGTGGTGGCGGCTTGGCCTAGTGGAGGGAGCATTGGGCTTTAATCCCTTTCGGACACTTGCTAGGTGTATGACACACCTCCCTCCCCAGACCTGCCCCAACTCAACTATTTATCACAAGGCTGCAAGTTGACGGTTAGGGGTAGGCCCTGAATAGTTTAAATCACGGGTCCATTCAGTGGACTTCTCTTGAGCCTCTGCCTGCAGTCATTCCTCAGTGATTAGTGTCTCTCCACCTTGTCATACCCCCCCCTTCCAGTAAATCTGAACCCCCTTCCATTATTCAAACCTCATTCTTTCCCTCTCACTTCCTCATTCCCATCAGCCTCAAAGTAACCCACCCCTCCCAAACCTCCCACTGTGAAGCCCCCTTCTACTTTGTTCTCTGGAATCTGGGTAATCTTCAGTAACAACCTTGCTTTCATTTTAACCCTTTATCTTTCTCCCTCCTTCCACCTGCTGGTCCTCTTGGGAGCTATGTTCCTGTGGATGACATGGCATTGCTGGCCACCCTTTCCAGCACTGGTAGCATTTTCTCTCCTCTCACTCATCCCTTCCTGCCCCTACCTCCGTCCACACAGTGGTCCTGGTGGACACTCCTTGCTCCTTCTCCGTTACTTTCAGGCTCTCTGTCTACTCCCATAGCTCAGTAACCCTTGGAGGTTCATTCAATACGTATTTATCACCCCACTGAGATGCTATTATCTACCATTCCCCAACATGCTCTCATTCCTTCGTCATTGAGTTAGTGCCTGGTTCACAGTCTTTTTCTCCTTCCCAACTCCCGTCCTCAGACACCACGGACACTGAGCCTAACTTTACAGTTGCTCTAGCGGCTCATGTCCCCTGAGCCCACCTCAGGTACCCACAGAGATGGGCATTACCTTTCTCTTGCAATCACCTATAAGTGTTGCCCTTCCCTGTTCATGAACTCGGAAATTGCCTCATCTGATCATTATCTTTTATCATTCCATCTCCCCTAAGTCTCTTCTTTGTCCTCACTATGCCTTGTGATCCCTCTACCCCTCAGTTCTTTCCTAGGCTATAACTGGCTACACTCTCTTCATCCCTTTGGCGAACCAATCTGGCTCTACACTACCCTCTTCTCTCGAGTGCCTTGCCCCTGATCCTATCACCACTGATCTTGGCCTGCCAAGCAAGCATCAGTCTTGGGCTTCTCCTCCCATCTGCTGCCTTCACTCTTATGCACATGCCACTGAACAGAGCTAGAGAAAAATCACAAACCCGTGCTGAATGGGTCCTCTGCAGATTTATGTTATACGATCTCCATTGGACCATTGCTTACACATCGAAATCCTTCTTTACCTGCCTAATTAATTTACTCTCCCATTCTCCACCGTAGCTCTTCCCAACCTTTTCCTCCGTCCTCAAACCTTCCATGGCTCCCCCTCCCCCACCTTCTCAGTTGAGAACCCTGCCTCATATTTCACTGCAAAAACAACTGAGGCCATTTGCTGAGAGCTCCCTCTTTTCTGCTCCCCTCCTCCTCATGTCACATCACTCAGATGCCCTCTCCCTCCTCTTCCTTCACCCCGTCTCACATGGTGAGGTGGCCCTTCTCTTTGCCAAGGCCAACCCCTCTATATACCTCCTTCATCCCATTCTAGCCTGTCTTCTTCAATGGATTGTTCCCTTTATCATCTTTATTCTCTCACTATTTTTTTTTTGTAAAAAATTAGTTTTTATTGATGTCTTTTATATTTTTACATCACAGTAACTTCCCCCAGTATTCCTCCTCCTTCCCTTCTTAGAGAACTATCTCATATAATAAATAGTATTTTTAAAGACAAAAGAAAAAAGAAGGGGAAAATCAGCATAATTGATCAACATATTGAAAAAGTCTGAAAATATATACAATGTACAACACTTGTGGACCCCCCCCCCACCTATGTGAAAGGATCAGGTAGAAGGGTCTTTTCATGTCTTTTTTTTAAAACTATGCTAGTTATTTATAATTTTACATTCACTTTTGATCTCTCACTAATCTTCAGTCTCTCCTTGTCCACTGGCTACTTCCCTACTGCCTATAAACATGTGCATGTCTCCCCTATCCTTAAAAATCCCTCACTTGATCTGTCCATTCCCCCACCTGTCATCCCATATCTCTCTTCCTTTTTCTGGCTAAACTCCTGGAGAAGGCCATCTACCCTTGGTTGTCTTGCTACTCAGCACAGCACAAGTTGCCGTGACACAGTTAGACCTGGACAACGTTCTCAGGGTCACATGTACTGCAGTGCCTGTCTACAGAATTAGGAGAATTGCATCAGGTGGTCTTGAAGTTCCCTTTCAGCTCTATTCTGTGACCCTATGAACTGACTGATAATATCTCCATTTGTCAAAGATCGGAGACCAGCTTTGGTAGAGTGACTGACCCAGATCACAGAAAAGTTCTACGAAGGTGCTTGGCGTTTGGAACTCACCAGATCCTAGCCCTGGAACTGGAAGGGTCCTCACAAGCCACGTAGGCCAACACACTCATTGCAGTATTTTGGTCATTTTGACAGTCATTTATTTTTGAATTAATTACTTTTTATAAACATTTATTAGGTCTCCCTCTGGTCCCCCCTCTCCATTCCACATTGAATAATAAAAAGGAGAAAAAGAAAACAAGTAGCAAAGATGCATAATGCAGCCAAACAAATTCCCCATTGGCCATGTACAAAAATGCATGTCCCATTCTGCACTTTTCCAGTCCGTGCTCTCTCTGGTGGGAGGTGGGTGGCCCCTTTAGCCCTCTGGACTCGTGATTTATCACTGCATTGAGCAAACTTATCCTTCTATATTATTCCATCCCTTCCATTTAAAGAAGAGGAAAACGAGGTCCAGATGAGCTTGGGTAACCTGCTCAAGGTCACCCAAAGGAAGCTTGTGCCAGAGGTGGGATCTGGACCCAGGTCATCTGACTTTCCTTTTGTCCGGTGTCACACAGCATCCAAGGCAGAATTTGAACCCAAGTCCTCCTGACTCTCTTGACAAAAACAAAAGATGAGAAACCAAGGCGAGCGCTAAATTCCCGCAGTGCTTCCCCTGGCCGCTCTGCTCCATGCTGGGAGGCCTGCCAAACCATTTGCCCCAGCTACACACGTTCTGCTCGACTATTTTCTCATGTAGGGCTTTTGTAACACATCAAAGCAGTGGTACCAGATGCTACAGGGCAAAGAGACCATAAATGTAGAACTTTCTCGTCTGGCTCCAGTTTTAGGGAGCAGGCCCCAGAGGCCGTCACTTGGAAACCAGCTTGTCAGGCAGAATCAGGCAGAACCAAGACCCCACCACGGTTCATGTTGGTTTTTTCTTCTCTTCCCCATTTACCCGCTAGGCCGGTGGCTTGGAATACTCTCTCCTTAAGGGGTTCTATGAAGGACCTTCTGAGAACCAGGGCTTTTTGGATTAGGTCTCATAATCTCTTAACGAAGTTAATGGCCAAGACTTTGTTGTGTTAAAGGGTATTTTTGCTGTCTGTTTCTTAAGAGAGACAGCATGGTATACTGTTAAGAGTGCTGGGTTAGGAGTCCAATGGCACCTCAGACAACTCACCAGCTGTGTGACCTTTGGCAAGTTCTTCTGAACCTCAGTTTCCTCACCTGTAAAATGGGAATCCTAACAGCACTTACATCACAGGGTTGTTGGGAGGACCGACTGAGAGGAGCGGACCCTAAAGGACTATTGGAATGGTAACTATCATTATACAGCATTTCTGGGCTCGTAAGATTCTGGGCTCGTTCCTCTTATGATCAGCTCCTTTGCTGAAATTGTTACTAAGTCCACGAATTTTGTTGTTGATGGTCTTGGCTTGTCCAGGGATACAATTACATACATTGTCTTCAACTCTGTAATTGCTGAAACTTACTCCTTCGACTTTTTTCATGCCTGATGACTATTCCTAAGACTTCTAAAATGATGTTACAAAGGGCTGGGGAGAATACCCTGCTTCACCCTTCTTTTAATGGAGATGCTTTCCCTGGTGTGTGAAATCCTTCCTTGTAGTTGTTCCGAATGGCAGATTGGTACAGGAGCTCTCTCGGGCATGTAGCCTGCCCTGCTGTCTGTCTCTAAGGCTAACCAGATTCTGTAGCTGCCCATTTGTAAACAGGCCAGTGGCACTGGTTTGTAGGGGAAGATATCCTGTTTCCTTCCTGGGTACTCACCCTCCTCTCTGTCATCTTTCCCAGTGCAGGACATGTGGGGGTCAGGGCAAAGAGGGGGAGCCTAGGTCTTCCTTTGGTGGCTTTTCCAGAACCCACCTGATTTCCCTCTCCTCTGTCCAAGCATAAAGAGGTTGACGGAAAGGCCCAGACAGAATGATATGAAATCTTAGAATCAGGAACAATGGACTCTTCCCAGGAGCTGGGACAAGCCTCAACCAGGGTTCATGACTAGATTTTTCAGAAGGAGAGGTAATTGATGGCCAGCCCTCAAGTTCCACTGGCATGCCCTCAATGTCCAGAGCGCTCGAGGAAATCCCCTACCTCCATGGTGAACTCCGGTGAGGACCTGGATCAGTCACACAGGATGGGTTACATCACTGGAGGGAATAATCACATTGGAGTGTGGAGGAAGACCTTCATGTTAGACAGTCCACTTGAGGGTCCAGACTTCCTAGAGCATTGCTGCAAGGCCTTACAGTATGGGACCATCTTAGGAGCCTGCCTTAGCTAGCTCAGGGCTTCTTAAACTTTGTTCACTCTCGACCAACCCCTGTCAAGTGTAAGAAGCGCTGACTAGAGCTCATGACTGGCTTTCATGGGAGGAACTTGCTGTCAGGTGTAGTTGAGTTGGGAGAGGGTTGTCATGGTGACAAAACCCTACAGGTGACTGCCCAGGGCCAGGCAAGGGAAACATGCCCCTCAGATATCAGCACCCTAGGGCATAGCTCACATTGCCCACCTTAATTACAGCTCTGCTAATTAATACTAACCTCTCAGGTCTTAGTTCAAAATGACTTCCTAATATATTCTCAATGGGGAAAGGAAAAAAACAGCACGTATACATGTTTCATTTTTTGCCTTCATATCCACAGACCCTGGCATGGCGCCTTTGAAAGGAGTAGGTCCTTCATAAAAGCCCTGAAGATTGGCTTGAATTGTGACCTCTAATGGTATGTGACCAAGTTAGCTTAGTTGCTAATGAGGTCTGAATTTCAGCTTCCTTTCTCTGTGGAACATTTAGTTTTACTATGTCAGGGGCCACTAGAGCACCCATGAGTTTATGCAGCCATTTTCATAGATCCTGTGCTTGCCAGGGAGACTAGTAAGCAAGCTGCTTACTATGTGCCTTTCTTCTAAGTAGAAAGTGACATGAACCTGTGGGCCCTGTTCATGGTGGCTTAGTAGAGTTAGCTCTGTCCAGAACTGTAACCAGGACAAGGGACTTTTCCCCAGGGCAGCACATTTAGTGGGTGCTGACAGCACTTCTAGTCATTTGGTAGCCTAGGAATGACATAGTTTAGCACCTAGTTAACAAGAACTTGATGAAATCCTGCCCGAGAGTGGGCTGAATGGACTTCTCCATGAATGGATACTTTTTCATCATTCAAAATAGTGTGTTTTGAAGGATCAGTTGGAAGGGGCTTCAGTAGGCAGCTAGTCAAGCCCTTTATAAAAGGGATCCCCATTTTAACACGTCTGACCAGACTGGTTTTCAGGTCCTCCACAATAAATTAAATCCGAAATAAGGAGGAAAACCATTCGGGGCCTTAAAATCCTGTTTATGTGTCCTGGTTCAGTGTGAACGTTAGAAATCATCCTTCTAAAACTATAGCTAGTCAGCTGAGAATCACGAGGCCCATTGCTGCCCCCCTCCCCCCTCCGAAGCAGCATCAACCCCAGCCCAAGTCAAAGAACATCCAGTGCCATTGGTGACCTTCTATTGCCTTTTCCCAAAGCATCATGTAGAGGTCAGGTCTAAGGAGATGTCCGCTGCTTCTTCTCCCTCCCATTTGCAGAATAATTTCTCTCTCTCCAAACTCTATTCAGGATGGGGCCTATAGGAGTTGAAGGAAAGTTGTACTCAGTGATAAATAACTTCCCTTGCCTAATTAGATCAAGGCTGGGCTCCCCAGCCCTTTCCCAGCTTTCTGGCCTGGATTCCTGATACTTGGCTACACAAAGCCTGCCAACCTGGCTTACTCAGTACCCCCAAAGCAGGCCCCTTTTTCTATCTCCTCTGAAATGCTCTCCTACCTTTTTTCCAGTCTAGAGCATATTTCTGGTTTCTGTTAAGTGTCTGTGGCACACTGTGAACCGGTTCATTTCTGTGCCTCAGTTTCCCTTTCTCATAGAAAAGGACTAAATCTAGGGTTTTTTACCTTTTTTGCATTATGTGTCTAGTAAAGCTTATGGACCCCTTCTCAGAAGAATGTTTTTTGACATAATTGAAGGAAATGCCAAGTTTCAATTAGTGGGGTAGTAAAAATAAAAACGTCATTTCCCCCATCTCAGGTCCTTGCCCGTCGATTAAGAACGCTTGAACTAAATGATCCTGTGGGGACCGAAAAGAACACTGGGTTTAGGGTCACACAACCTGCCTCTATTGCTTACTTCTTTTGTGACCTTGGCAAGTCACTTCTCTGCCTCAGTCTTCTTATCCTGTCAAATTACAGGATCAAATCATTGGAAGAAAGTAAGTGGGTGTGGCTCTCAGCCTGGAGCCAGGAAGTCTTCCAGTCCTGCCCCACACACTTACTAGCCACGTGATGCTGGGCAAGTCATTTTGCCTATGTCTGCCTCAGTTTCCCCATCTGTAAACTGCAGATAATGACAGCACTTATGTCACACAGTCATTTTGAAGATTGAATGAGATCACATTCACAAGTGCTTTGTACTTTCAAGTGCTGTATAAATGCTGGCAATTCTTATTATCTCAAAGGGCCATACATTTCAAGCCAGAAGGGACCTTCAGGGTCTAAGGAGATGTAGTCCAACCCCTTCATCCTGCACATGAGGAAACTGAGGCCTAGAGAGTGGTTGAGCTGGAATTTGAACCGAGGGCCTGTCTCCTACCTAGGGACTTCTTGCCTCCTCCGGGATCCAAGTTTGGTGACCTCCTGGCACCTTTGACTCAAGCCACTCAGCATGCATCTTGAAGGGGGGCGGGGAGGGAGAGGGAGAGAGACAGAGACAGAGAGACAGACACAAAGAGAGGGGATACCAAGAGAGAGAGATTGAGAGAGAAATAAATAGAGCAAGGGAGGGAAAAAGAGACAGAAAGAGATCAGAGAGAGAGAGAGGGATAGGGAGAAAGAGGAAGGGGGGTAGGGAGAGAGAGACACACACAGAGACACAGAGACAGACACAGAGAGCTTGTCTCTCCACCTCTCTTGCAAGGGCTTTGGGGCAGAGGCAAGACCCCTGCCAATGGCCACGAAAGATTTTCTTCTTACAATTTTTAATGTCAGGTGAGAAATGTAGGGGGGGGGGGGGGGTGGGGTGAGGAATCAGGCCAGGGATCTGCAGGCTTTTGAATGTGTATAAGTGGCTTTGGATAGGAAAAAAGTCTGGAAGGCACAAAATGGCCTGCACCCGGCCCATCTGCTCTCTGCTCTCGCCACAGGAGTAGCCCATCACCTGATCACACGAATAAGGCATCCCCAGGCCTCTTGGCCTCTGGGTAGGAAGGAGACCTAAGCAAAGGACGAAGGGCAGAACTGGTGACTGACTAGTTAAGTCCCGCTTGGGCTGCTGGTTCCACTTGTTCTAGGCTCGGAGTTGCCCTCTACGCATCAGAGCCTGGGCGATCCAACGTGGACTCAGCTGCCTTGGGAGGGGCCGGCTCTGTCTGAGATGACACGGTTCTTGAGGATGTCCAAGAGCCAGGGCAGAGCCCAGACCACGGGGTCCCAAAAATCGTTCCGAAAGAGCCGCGTGTCCCAACAGCCACCTTTGGGTCTCTAAGGGAGAAAGAGAGTAGTGCAGGCAGGAAGACCTGCGTTGGACGCCCCCCTGCAGATGCTAGTGTGAGCCACGGCAGGGCATTTCACCTGTCCCAGCCTCTGTTTCCTCATCTGTCAAATGGGGCTAACACCAGTCCCCCTTTTTTCACAGAGGGATTCCAAAGAGGGCCCCAGGTGTGGAAATGGTGGCAGATCTAAATTATTAACCCCGGAGGACTCCCAGGAGGCGCGTTTCTTCCCGCCTAGCCATGTGGCCCTGCGTAGCCTAGACCTTTGGGGGAACTGGGGTGACGGTGGGGGTGGCGGTGGGGGTGGCGGGGGGGGGGGCGGGGGGGGGGGGGGACGGTGGGGGTGACGGGGGGGGTGGCGGTGACGGGCGGAGGAGGGAGGCCGCCCCGCCCCGAATCCTCAGCGCCTGCGGCCAGAGGAGCAGGCGTTCCCAGGCGCACGTGGCCCTCCCCCGCGGCACGTGAGTCTCGGGGGCAGACCCCGCGGCGCCTTCAGGTGAAAGTGACCAGCAATTGGGAGCAGCTGCCTCTCTCCTCTCCTCTCCTCTCCTCTCCTCTCCTCTCCTCTCCTCTCCTCTCCTCTCCTCTCCTCTCCTCTCCTCTCCCCCC